TTCTTCATTTTCTTGCATCATCATAAACTAATTAACAAAAATTTCTTAAGCTTGAATCAAAATTTAAACTAACAACCAATAATTAGTTAATAGGTTTTACCTTTTTTATTTTTTATTTAAGAAAAATGCCAGAAATACTATCCTCTAATTTTAATACCAAAAATACTATCCTTCTAATTTTAAATATTAAACAATTTGGCTAAAGTTATTTTATTTATTTTGAATTATGAAGTTGCATTTGTGATAAAAATATTTTTGACACAAAATTTAAAGTTGCATTCTTTAAATGATTGCAAATTATTTGCAGGTAAAAAAAAAACAAATTGGAAGTTTTTTTTTTTAAAAAAAAAAAAAAATCTTCGTTTTGGAAATAATTCTTTTAAAAAAAACTTATGGAATAAGCCAATTTTTTAGCGTGAGAATAAGTGTAAGCAATTAATATTCAAAATAAGAGTCGCTAAACTTTATTAACCAATTTTTGGATTTTGATCAACGAATATGTGGCATAGCAAACCTGATTAGTATATTTTCTGATTAGTGCAGATCATTTATAACATAATTTATACAATCGGTATTTTGCCAATATGTTACTCAAGTTTAGCCAAATTAAATGAGATATCTCTTAGAGGGACCTCTCCTACCTCATTTTTTGGCAATTATATTAAAATTGAATTTTGCAGGCAAATTTGCCTGCTTAACATATTAAGAGATAATAAATAACTATTAAAAATATATAATAAAGTAGTACTGACCAAAAAGGTTATCTTAAGACCAAAAAAAAAACAAGTAAACAAAAAATAATAAACAAATCAAAAACTAAAAATAAAATATTACTAACAAGATATATAGCTACTAGCCTATGATTGAAAGATAAGTCTTTAATAAACTAAGAATCTGAAAAGTAACCAATGATTACTAAAACAAATCACACTAAGCAAAAACTTGATAAATCATCTGTTTGGTTAGATTAATACAACTACAGATAAAAATTTCATGTAAAATTTTTTGAATAGTTTAATCTCAAATAAACAGTAACAGGATTGCCAAATTAAAAATCAAAAACTAAAAATAAAAAAAAACACAAGATTTTCATATTTAAAAATATTAACTATCTAATATAACACAATATAAAATTATTATGATTATTTTTAATAAAATACAAAATAAAACTAATATAGCAATAAAAAACAATATAAACAAGATATATAACTATTAATCTATAATTAAAAAAAATAAATCTTTAATAAATTAAAAATCTAAAAAAAAACAATAGTTATTAAAACAGATTGTATTTAGATATAAGCTAAATAAACTCTTTATTAGATTAGATTAGTAACAACAATTTATATAAATTTTTTGAATAATTTAATTTTAAATAAATAGAAATATAATTACCAAATTATAAAAAAAAATTTAATAACTGCTAAAATATTTTTATTCAAAGTTTAAAAAAAATCATACAAAATTTCAAACTTTGAGCAAAAATATCTCAACCACTATGCCAAATTCAATAAACGTTTTTTTATTTAAATTTTATAAATTTATAAAATTTAAACAAACAAAATTGATCAAATTTAGCCTAATAGTTATTAAAATATCTTTGCTCGAAATTTAAAAACAATCAAATTTACAAAAGATATAAATAATAAAAATTTGAAAATATAAAAAATAATTTTTTAATCAAAACCCAAAATATATATATATTCTAAAAGTTTATTAATATTTTTATTTTTTATTATATATTATAAAATATTGAGAACCAGGTTTAAAATTTGGTTTGAACCAGACCAGGTTTAACTTATCTTTAGAATTTATTATATAAAAACCTGATTCCTGAGATTTTAATTTGAAACCAAACCTAAACTAACTTTATCATCCTTACTTTTAGCCATGCTTCGAGTGATTATGGTACGAGCAGGAGTAGAAATAGCTCGACTTCTTCTCCTTCCAGATGATGGTTCTTGTTTCACTACTGGAATACGGTCATTCTGAGGCGATGTAAAAGGGGAATGATCAATTAAAACTGGGATATCAATGTTTGACGGTGGTGTCTTTCTCTGTTTTTCTGGAGATAGTTGTGTCGAATCTCGTATAGATGGCGGAAAGGAGAATATTGAAGTATGAACTGCTTGCGTTTCTTGCATCATTGTTTCATCCACATCGATAAATGGTGTGCTAATACCATTTACTCCTGCTTTAAAAAAAAAAACCAAAATGCAAATTAAAACAAATGTTAAATATACTGGAGGTTGAAAAATAAACGAAATCCCAACTAACTTTCATCACGACTTAAGGCTTTATCAATCTCCATAGAAATTTCTTTCAGTTGCATTGGAGGTAGTGTCTCCATAATACTTCCAATGTATTTATTTCGCATGTGAGTGCTTACTGTTCCACTTCCAATGCTTTCACCTCTTCGTCTCAATAATTCGTTTTCTTTAATAGATTCAACAATATTACCATGATGAATATTGTAAATAATTAAAAAGTGTTTCCGTGTTTCTTGGTCTTCGATTTCGCAATATTTATTTAAAATCGCGCGTTCATTCTCATCCATTACAGTATTAAGCAATATATTTAATTTATCTGCATCGGGTTTCGGAAGGAAGCAAAAGTCCAGTAACTTTTTGAATAGCGCAAAGTCTTCAGTGTGAGTCCTATGTTGTCGCTAATCAAAATTCCAAAAGTTAGACGAATGTAAATAATAAAATATTGCCGTAAAACCGCGAAATAACGCCCACCTGCGCGTTATTTCGTATTTTTTTTGATTTTTTTTTGATTTTTTTTTTTTTCGAGATAAACGATTAATCACCAAACCTAATTATTACTATATTATAAATCCATTGAGATGTTATGTTGTTTCGGGTTTCGGACGCCCACGGGCATTATTTCGAAACCAAGCACGATATATTTTTTTTAAGAAACCGATTTTCGAAATAACGTCAATCCTCATTATTTCGCAGTTTTACGGTATGTTATTGGTAATACGCACTTGAAAAAGTAAGGCTTCACATATATCACAGTGCAATAGAATTTCCATATAGATTTCTATATTTTCAGGTGAACTTTCTTGAATATTGTTAAGATTTGCATATTTCAACGCATCATATGGACCCACATTTTTCAATAACACCTGCATAACCTTTATATCCCAATCCACAGTAACAGTTGGTTCAGTTAAAAATCTTATAGCTTCTGCGAATTGACAATGATCTAAAGCCCAATACCCATCCATAAGACACAAGAAATTTGGTGGTATCAAATATCTAGTTGCATATTTTTGATACCTTTTGCTGAAAGCTTGCCAATCTTTCAAAAGATAATATACAAGGCAATGTTTTCTTAACATATCAATATCATTGCTTTTAAATATCTCATCAAACAAAATCTTTAATGCTTCTGTATCAGGTGGAGGATAAGACTCTGGGTCAATATTTACAAATCGAAGTAACATATCAAAAATGAGTTCACCATCCAATTGATTACGTCGAGATCGAATAGCACTAAAAGTGATTGTGGAATAAGGAGTATATTTTCTAAACTCGGCATCGTCAAACCACTCAGTAAATAATGGTTTCAGATCATAAAATATTTCACATTGAGATTTAATGTTCGGATCAAAAAGGACCGTTCTATTAGGTAAAAGAATTTCACACTTAGCATAGCGTATAGGAGCATCAATGTCCAATACAGGTAACAAATTGCATAGTATAGAAATATTTTCCCAACATAGAAGAGAAATTTTTTGAGCACTCTCAATTTTAAACATGGCAAGTTCAAGACCATCTTTTGCATCTTTTTCCATGTAAGTAGAATCCAAGGCGACACATAAAATGTAATCAATACCATCAGCAGCAGAAGAAATTGAAATAATTCTTCCTTTGATAACATTAGAATCCGGACGACCTTCAAAACTTTGATCAAATTCTTGACATGATTGATGACCAATACCAAAAGAAGTTTTGAAAAACCTAATCATAGGTTTTAAATCAATTTGTTCTATGAAATCATTATTCAAAGTTGGATCAAGACCACCATGACCAACAATGATTAGACCTTCATAATCAGCATGAGGAGGACGTGAAATTATATGAGTAACCGGAGCAGAAGACATTGGAGGTTCTATAGATTGAATCTCTTGTATTTTGAAATCAAAATCGTAACTAAATATTTCGATAAGTCCTCGCATACCACCCGCAATTATGAAAGGAATACCATTTGTACCATGAAATTGATGAGATGATATGTATACATTCACAGCTGATACGGGTTCTCTAGTATATAATTGTTGATAATGCTCTTCAATCACACGAAATTTTGAACAAAATTCCTTTGTAGGAGGTAATAAACGATATAAAGATATTCCAATAGCAGAAGCAATAACAATTAGATAAGATACTGAAGCAGTTGTACCCGCTTGCTTTAATTTTTGGATTTCATCATCCTGGAAGAAAAAAAAGGTAATAATAATTAAAATTTAAAATTTAATAATAAATTTAATAATAATTAAAATTTAAATTTTAAAATTTAATAATTTAATAATAATAGATCGGTATAAAAAATCCAACACTTACACCATGTAAGATTTCTTCAGAAAAAACCACGTCATTTATTGTAGGAATCAACTTGTCCAAATTCATTGGCAAAATATGAGTAATTCTCTCATATATATCATATAATAGAAATCTATACTCTGACTGGGTTGTCCGCGTGCATATTAATAGACACTTTGTTCCAACAATGCAATCAGTTACTTTCACAATCTCACGAAGGTAACCTTCGTCTCTTGATCTTAGGGGATTACATTTCTGTTCATAATTGAATTTCCTCAGCTCAAAAGTATCGTATAATTTGAAATCACGTTTATAACGGATTTCAATTACTTTGTCACTCCACGTATAAACGAAGGCAGAAGTGTTAAGACTCGCGTGTTGAGTATCAAAAGCGCCAGCTGTAGGACGATGAATTTGATCACACGTGGAGATCTGAGTTCTTGGTAAAGTTGCAGGAGTTGGTCTTATGAAATTCTTTAAAGTTGTTAAAATATTCATAATAACTAGCTAACTAGCACGTCTGTATATCCGTGCCTGAGCGCAAAATAAACAAATAACTAGATTACACGTATTCAGTGTCTGGTCCGGTTTCTGGTCAATAATATAGTACTTTTCTTAAATTATACTTTAGTAATTCGTATGTAACCATTTTTTTTTATTTATTGTTATTTTTTTTAAACTACGTATAAAATGTATAAAATCTATAAAGACCAATCTGATCATCAGTAACACGAATCACATGAATCAAAATTGATCAATAAGATTCGTTTATTGATAATTTTTTTCGTGATTGATTAATAACGTAAACGCGAAAAGTTGTACATAATATCGATATCATTATACTTGAAAAAAAATTTTTACCCGGTATTATTAAAGTATATCGATATTCAGTATATTGATTAAACGTTTAATTATTAAAATCCGGATTTAACATGTTAGTGTGTTATTACGATATTAGTCTCTGGCAATTAATTTGATAATTATTTTCGTTATCTGTGATGTAATAGTTGTTTAATATAATTACGTAGAATATTTTGATTTTGATTACACATTATGCATTTAAATAGAATATGTTACGTACTATAAAATACCATAAAAAAAAAAATAAAATAAATATTTACCGTTACCTGTTTAAAATTCTGACAGCTCATTATCTACAAGAATTACAGTGTCCATCGGGGTTTTTTTTGAAATTAATTGAAATTAATATAGTTTCAATATATCTGATTATTTTAATAAATTTATCTAATACTTGCTACGTATCATCATTGATTCGTTTTTTCAATATCATCACTATGTAGTTTACTATGTAGTTTTTTTTTTTTTCATCATCGATCTCTTTTTTCAATATTATCATAGTCTATCGCTATTATTAAATTTTTAAAATTACAAGAATTATAAGCTGTTACCATTATTTTGTTTTTTATCGAATTGATTTAATAAAAAAAACTACGTAGTAAACTACATAGTGATGATA